AAGTTTTAATAAGTTGTACTTACACAAAATTACTTGTAATCTTGAATTTTAAGTAATGTGCATCAATAAACGGTACTTCATGCATAAAAATGGTGTAATTTTTGAAAAATGTATCAAAACGTTCTTTTGTATCAATATATGTCATTGACCCCATGGTGTAATTTTTGAGTCAATTTAATGGAATGGTTATTCCCGTATTGTAGCTAAAAATAGGCATTGGGTCATTAGAGGCAACTTAGTACGGTCTTATGGGAGCCAGATATTAGCTACACATGATGCAATTTCTAGTGAAAGAGTGTCCTGGAATCATTGGGGGACTTGAACCATGAACCACAAACAATTGATCCCATTGGAGCCATTAATCCTCAGGATGAGCTCTATAACGTGGAATGGTGGCCTACTTTTATGTTCTGCCATAACCATGGAAATCGGGTCTCCCCTGTCACCGAAAGGTGTTATTTTGGGTATTGAGTTTTATCCATGTTTTCAATGACGTATTGGGTATGGAGTATTTTTCATTATTTATAGTTTGAGTATTGAACCTTATTTACGTTTTTGGCATTTAACCTCATTCACTTTTGGATGAGTATTGGACTTCGGTCCCATGAACAAAAGAACGTTTTGATACATTTGTTTTCATCACGATAATGGTGGGTTTTGGAAAGGATGTGCTTTTATATATTTAAGATGAAAACTGCTTGAACTCACTAGGCATTAAGCCTAACCTTTTTCTTTGTTGGCATGTGCATCAGGTTCTTGAGGAATGGTACTTGAGACATTGTGTTGCATTGAAGGCTAATTAGAGGCACAAGAATGATCTAGCTAATCAATGACTTCTCCAGATGTGGAGATAGCGATTGTTATTGGGTTTTAGTGGCACCCAACCTTGACCTAGTCCTTATGTAAGGCTTAGTTTATCTATTGTTGATGATTAAATCTAGGTTTTCTATTCAAGGTAATTCAAGTATTGATTTATAGGAAAAGATTTATCCCTTGTTTGATGTATTACAGAAAATTTTAATTTAGTTGCTCTTTCTAGGTTTGGGGGTGGTATATCACATCCCTACAAGACTTAATGGAAAACCAACCAAACAGCCCTAAGTTATTCCTAGTTTCCTATCGTGCTCTACTCTTTGAGATAGGGGTCAGGTCTGCACACATCCCACCCCCGGGAGCCCACCTCCAGGTGAATATACTTGTTTGTTTGGTTTGGTCAATGTCGAGAATTTGAAGCGAATCTAGTTCAAGAACAAAAAACTGTTTGAGGTACCTTTAGTTTTCAGGCTCGTACTAGAAACAGCAGCAGAAAATTCATCAGCTTTTTTTATCACAGCAGAACATAGTGCTTGAACTTCACCTGCAACAGCAAGTCTGCTTACGATTCCCCTGGCCATTTTGGCTGAGACTCCGCTCAGTGGGCCCACCTCAGTTTCCAATTTAGTCTTCGCCTCTCTAACAAATTCGTGGAGTTCTTGAAACCTTGACGTGCCATCAAAAAGTCTAAAACTCAAATATATCCTGTAGCAGAGGCTATCAACACGCCGTGCATCCTTAGCAATAGTCAATTGCTTCTTCCAGTACCTACAAGAATTAATTGCCAAAGAAGAAGCATGAGTTCAAAAACTACATAAATCTAATAGAAACAGAAAGGTCAAACTGGTAAAAGATATAATGCATCAAAATGTAAAAAAGTTTGGTATACTTTCGATTTAGAGCAACAAATACTTTTTTCTCAGTCCATGTATAAAAAAGTTTCAAATATTCATATTTTGTACCCACTCTGACCGGTAACCTGCTGATTTTGCAACACTTCATGACATGGATACCCGTTTACAGAAGAGTTACGGCGAAACGGACAGCAAACATGGTATGTCAATAAATGCTACAAGATCAGGAAGCTACCCATCAAAATGGGTAAAAAGTAAAAAGTCTGAAACTATGTTTATATTGATCGAGAAAAAGATCCGTTGTTACACTAAATAGGAACGAAGACAAATTTCTTTGTAATTTGATGCATATTGCCCAATTAACAAATTTATGTATTTTGAGAGCAACAAGGGAAGAGCACTGTGTCGTAATGGAAAAATAAATATCATATGTAAACGTTTGTATATATATATATATATATATATATGTGTGTGTGTGTGTGTGTGTGTGTGTGTGTGTGTAAGAAGATGAAAAACTCACCCAAGTATCCCTGAAACTTTACCACAAGATGCACAACAGTAACTCCCATCTAGCTGCATCAATTGCCCCAGATTAACAACCCCTACTTTTCCTTGCTGAAGGGCACACTCAATGTGGCAAGATAAGCCACAGGATTCCCCATGAGAAGAATCGGACGTGCATTCCAACCAAAGACTCGGATCTTTGTTATCATCGAACAAGTGGCAAATGCAGCAAGAGCATCTTTTGCAGAAGGTGTCAGCTACCGATAAAACAGCTCTACAAGCAGAATTCTTGCAGATCCATGTATCTGAAAACTTAGTATCAGTACATGATTCAGAAACAGGAGGAATACGCACAGGATTTTCCCCTTTCCTGTTCTGTTTCCTGGAAGGCTGGCACTTGGGACTTGTGGATGCCTTTTTGAGATCCTGATTCTTTAACAGCTTCTTATTCATCCTGATGGATGCTTCAGCCATTTTATGTTTCGACGAAGCTGATTGCTTTTTTCCCTTATCACAGCAAGTGCGAAAGAGATCCTTCCGCAGACCGGACTTCACGAACTCTTGAAGTGGCTCTGCTGTTCTTGAAGCATCATCTGAGTGACCATTTTTCTCTGGAGTGCTCTGAACACTGGAAGATAGACTTTGAACACAAGAACCTGGACATAAATAAAAAGGGTATTCAAGAAAGGATAAGGTGAGAAAATCGAAATTATTTTTGGAGATATAAAGGTATATTCTAATTAGTAAACACATCAAAGAAACTTTGAAAGTCAAAATAATGTGGGGAACAGATAAATGTTCCTTTTAACACAATACGCCATAAATATTTTCTCAAAGCTCCAGATAACAAGCAGGAATTTCATTAAGATCCGAAGTATTAACATGTCAAATGAATCTCAAGCACCCTTATATGTTATTCGCTCCCATAATTAACAATTACCCATCTATAATCATCTTTTTGATAACTAATTTTACAATTAATATATGCAAAGAACAGCTTGACCATATACTTGCCTTGCATCCTCAGATATGGCAAGTATGTAAGGGCATCACAACATCTAACGATAATAGAAAGCAGAATTATACCTAATTCCAGCTAAGAACAAGAAAACCCAGCAAGGACTGTGGATATTCTCATGAGTTCATGCCTTTTTTCCTTCATTATAATTAAGTTCAAGCAATTTTTCCAGCAGCTTGCCATATTGTTTAACATCTTACAATTTATTCATAAGAGAACATACAAGTAGAGAGAAGGGTCCAGGTCTGATGAAACTAAACGAATAAAAAGAGGATTCCCATTATGATCTTATTGAAGAAAGCAACAATATACTTGCTTCTGGAAGAATAAAAACTCAGTTAATAAGAAAAATATGTGGCATTTACACCACATATATAAAATCTTTTTGCCCAAACTGGAAAACTGATTTCCTCCATCCATGTTGGGACTGTTGAGTGTTGACAATAGACCTCCAACGTGTATGCATGACTGCCTATCCAAATTTGATTTGTTAAAACACAAACATCTTATCTGATAGTCCAGACTCTACATGCAGTTAAAACCGAAAATCCACCGTCCTTGCTTGAAAACATTAAAATCCATAGCCGAAAATGTATGAGAAAAACGAGTAGAGAAATCAATTTTCCTAACAGAAGGTAAACTGATTAAGCAATAACAGCTCAAGAACATCGTTGACATCAAATGATACATGCAAGTGCAAACACATGAGATGCTCAATTTGGAAGGTTGAATAAAATCTGGTTTAAAAGGAAGAAGAGAGTTTTCTTACACAGGTTCAAAAATCAGTTATGATCGCACAAATGGACTAGAGCAACAACTCATGAAGAGAAAAAGATGACTAATCGAGGTACATATGTGGCAAAAGAGCATCTTGATGGAGGTTTGACATCAATGCTCTTAGGGTTTCGCATCTCAGGCCTCAACATGAAATCTTATATGGCCTTTATAACTGCATAATTATTTAGACATATATGAAAAATCTCATATAACTAACCTTCCGAATGAAGAAATAAAACTATAGAAAAAGAAAAACCCACTGATATACATGACAAGAATTATGTATCAGATTTCAGTTAGAAATCGGTTCTATGCGAAATTTTAGTTAATCTTATGATAATCGTCGTTGTATAACCACAAGGGTGGTGCCTGATTGGTTTGAGCTTGGCTCCAAAGGTCAAAAGTGCCTGGAGGTCCCAGGTTCAAATATAAGATGGAACAAAAATGTCCTTGTGGCCATGGAGGTTCAAATGCGGTGACGCAGGGCTACCTTGCAAAGCAAGTGGTTTGCTTGGGATTTGTCGGCTTGCATAGCAGGTTGGATATCCAGGTTAATAAAACAAACATCTTAGATATACCCAATAGTTGCAAGCTCGATGCATTCCAACACACAATTAGAGAGGCTTGGGCTCTAAGCGCAAGGTGTAAGGCAGACCTGCCCTGGAAAAAAACACCATGTACCGAGTAAAACATGCTAGAAGATTTGGATGTTCTACACAAATACCAAAAAAGAAATTTGAACTCCGATAAACTGAACCTGACAAAATATAAGTCAGTGAACCATTCAATCGTGGCCCAGTACTTAAACCATATAACATCTTGCACATAACCATATACTAACTGCATATGCTGGTGTGTAATTTAGTGAGACTAATATCTTTTAATAATAAGATCCAGAGTGAACTCTGAAAATTTTTAAATCAAAGGATTCTTGGAGAAACACTTCTAATGAAAAGCAGTAAACTGGTAAAAGTAAAACAATAGATGGAATGCGACTTTAGCAAATTAATGAGAGAAGACGGCATCATTGGTATGACAAGTTGACCACCCATGTGGTGGCACATATTATGTAGGAATAATTGTTGACCTTCATTGTCGGTTCTGATTAAATATAGGTATATAGATTCATCAAGATTTTAGGAATCTTTGAACATGGTATACGGTTGTCAAGGTTTTAGTTGTGTTCAAACGGATTGAAGTTAAAGGTATGTATATGTGGTGAAAATCAGTAATGAAACTTTTCGTGATACACATTTAGTAAACAAACAAAGTACAAGTAGAAATGCAGAAACTATTATAGCCTAGAAGATCCAACTATCTGTGGTATATAATTTTGATACAAAAAATAGTGTAGTGAATAATATAAGGAAAACATACAAGTCTCAATCAGATTAACATATACATACACAACAGACCAGTAAGTGCACCCACAAAAGAGTGAATGCCGAATGTATAACGCAGGAGGCAAAGAAAGATGAAGAGCAACATTAGATGCTATATATGCATAAACGATCAAAGAGAATGGGACTATTGTACCATTCAAACATACAACTGTTTTAAACAAAACCATTGTGAAGGATAATGAATTATAAAGGCTAATTTAGGTTCAATAAATACAACATTCGATCACTAAGAAGCAATAACCAGTACCAATCGAACTGTAACCTTAAAAGATGGCTAAGAAAAATGAATAGCATACTCCATGTTTCCCTTCTAACCAACCTTCCTATCTTGACTATATTTGGAGTCTTAAGCATGTGATTATGTAAAAGGTATACCAAGTAGCTGATGAAATCTATAACATCCTCACCTTCCTTTCTACAACTTCCTCCACACAACAGAAAGGCTCTCTAGCTCATCATCTGCAAGAGCAGGTCAACCATTTCATACATCATTGTTTTGCATGGATATCCATAAAAACTGTCAACAAAACCAAGTTGACCATTTAGTTGCCACATTCAGACCTACATTCCTTATCTAGATTATAGTTAAGAGATACATTATTTCACACGTGCTGATAAAAGAAGAAACCAAGAACAATATTGGCCCAATAAAACAATTTTCTCATAAAAGTTATTTCTATTTTCCAAATTCGATTATTATCACTGCAACATCACTATGTCAAAAATGAACATCATGGCACTTGAGCCCAAAATGTGTATATGATGTGCAAACAATCCTCAAAAGACACCATATAGCTACTATACAGGACACAGTATGAAAATGCAGTCAAATATTTACTAGATATAGTTCAAATGGTCATACAAACGAAAAGCAAATCTACATCTACAAGCATTTACCCATTCCTCACTTTTTGCTAATGAAAGCACAATTTCAATCATCCATTAGAAGAAAAGAAATGTCAACATATAGTTGATCAATATGAAATCTAAGAGAAAGATTTGCCTGCCAAGATCAAGGTAGCTTTAGGTTTGCACAAGTATAAAGTCTAGATCTCATGGCCAAACGATTAGGATCATAGTTCCAAGAATGGTTCTGCATGCATATAGTGGTGTTAGTCATTATGATAACAAGTCGCAAGATTAGGGTTTAGTTGCCCTCAATCCTGCTCTTGGCACTAGTGAAGTCCAGAATTTGGAAATGGCCTCATAAGCAAGACTCAAGAGATATGTTATGGTAAGCCTACTCTCTCGTGGCAGGATTTGTGGCACCCTCGTGGGCCTTCAAAAGATATGGTAGATTCTATGTTCATCGCAGTGACAATCCTAATTATGCATTTATGGTGGAGACTATTAACCATGATGGTGGTTGGTGTTGGCCTCCTGGTGACACGTACTACCACTTGGACATGCAGTCAACAATCTGTTAATTCTCTGATTCCTTATGATGATTATGACAACCAAGTGTTTCTGGGGGAGTTATTGATGATGCAAAATCCTCTATTAGTTGCTGAAAACATCAAGAAGTCAWGGTGGTCATGTATGAAAATGTCCCCTTGGCATGCTTCCCAAAAAATTTCTAGTCATTGACTTCATTGCAAGTATGATCTTATTGAATGGGGGTTGATCAACTGCTGTAATCGGATTTAATGCCTCTTTTTCAGTCATTCTGAAGTTCGGACCAAGTTGGTCAGATGAGTAATGGGACTGGAAGTTTGCCTTTTCTGTTCAAAACTTTGAAGGCAATACTTTTATACATGTGGTTCAGCAGTTTATTTTAATGTAAGTCATTTGTTCTGTTTTGCAGGGGTGGAACGTGCAGATTTTCAATCCCTCTGTTTGTACTCTGATGACTATTATAAAGAATATCAATGTATCTAGAAAGACCTTTCCAGGAAATTTGTGCAACTGGTACTATGTAAGAGCTGGTGTATTAGTGCACATATTTTGTTAGTTTATCTGTTTATATTTGAAGTTTCTCTGATGGATGCCTCGATGTAGATTGTATGACAGCTGTTAAACATAGTCTAGTATGTCACTGTCAGCACCATCTCCCAATTGAAAATTTGAGCAACAAGCTGAGCATTGTAAAATGACAAACAGGTTTCCAGAATAAGATGCCCAAAAGAAATTGGAGACATCAAGTTCTCACCTTTAGCAACAAATTTATCATCCATATCCATAATGTTCAAGCAACCCTCCCTGTGATAAAATAGCACTGAAAAACTCAGCATTATCTAGACTGCAACCTAATCAAATTAGTGTGCATATAGAAGGAAGAATCACAATCCAACATTTTCAATGGATGAGAAAATTAACCCAACTCAATGAGTGTCAACATCTATGAAAGTGAACATTTTTTTTTGACATTTTCATGTGGAAGGCTACCATCAGGCTTAGAATACATCATGGCAAGGGTAATCAAGTGTTTTTCATAAAAATAACTAGAACTACTGTTCAATTAAGAAGATCCAATTTGCTACTAATGTGGGACAACCAGTAGGCATAGAAACCTTATATTGACTAGCACACCAGTCACTTTAAAATATATTACCATTAATGAGATCCCGTCCTCTGTACTCTTTATGTGGGGGGATGGTGAGTTTAAAGCACAAGTTAACCCTTGTCAATTCACAAAATATTTTAGTTAGCATTTCATGATTACTAGGCCTTTTCTTCTATACAAATTGAACATCTTAGTCAGTTCCCAAACAACCATGTCAGTTACATTATTGCCATCCAATTTACTAACATAAATAATCAATGGTGGTTGCGAACTTGAGATGAATAACATCATGCCCGTCATATTCTTTTTCCTTCATCCTCCATCCCAAATTGGCTTGTCTTGTAATATAAATCTATATTTTTGTTTGAATACTTCTTTTTCTAAGGTATGCAACAGCAAAAAAACACAAAAGTTAGAAGATCACTTTATCTATTTTTACCATGTCTCACACAAATGACACAATGCTCATTGTGTTACACTAATGACATAAAAAAGCAGAACCTTTTCACATATACATGTAACATGCTCTTCTTAAGAACCCCACCTCCAAAAAATCAAATAAAGTAAATTTAGCTTAATTATCACTCATTCTCACGCTACTGATCATACATTGTCGAATCCAGATGAAAACAATGAACAACCTTGGCTGAAACACAAACAAATTCATTGCATCGGAGTTGCCAACATTCTCGTCTAAAATTCCGGGAACAAAACGTATAATTACATAAGGAAATGTCCAAAAATCAAAACTTGAAACAAAAAAAAGTACAATATTACAAAATAACATAAATAAACGAACGATAATACATCAAAATTTATTAAAAAAAACAGCGGATCTGAACACATGAACGCATAAAACAATCCACAAACCACAAGCTTCAAAGAAACACAATTATACATATATATACATCAACATGTATGTATATACTACAAAAACAAGAATGAATCAAGAGGAAATACCTGCGAAGAATGCTCGAGGAGAGAGAAAGATGTAAGAGAAGGTTAGGGTTTTTGTTTATGGAGATTGAGAGGTTTTTCAAAGAAAAACGAAAAAATGAAAATAAATCTCTACGACTCTTTGTGAGAAATTTTGCTTCGATTTGTGTGGATTTTGTTGAATGCTTTAATGGGAAGCTCGGAAGTCTTGGTCGCAATGGGGAGGTTCACGCGCGTGTGTAGCGCGTGGGAGAGTGGATTTCAGTTAGAAAAGGAAGCAGTTGTTGCTGAGCCGTAAAACGTACACCTAACGCTTGACTCAGTGATCATTGCGCCTGTTGCGTACTCGCTAATGCAAACGCGTTGGTTATATTTACTTCTTAAGTCCTTGCACTTCTGATGATTAACAAATTCAGCTACTCAATGTTTACAAAGAAGACTTTGAACAAGTAATTTCATTATAAAATGATCCTGGGTCTGTTTATTAGCAGTTTAATAAGTTTAATAGGACTCACGGCTTATTTGGTTAGATATATATATATATATATATATATGACTATTTGGAAATAGATTAATGATATAAAAAGTGGTTTATTTAGTAAACCAAGTATTTTTCAAACTCACATCTCCTAATTGAAAAACATGCTTCTTATTAAGGGTGTTTTATGGATTGGGTTGATCGGGTTGAAGACATTTGAACAACTCAATGTTTGCGGTTTGAAAAAATCTTAACTTAACTCAACCCAACTTAAACCAAAGTGCAACCCAACCCGTACGGGTTAGTCGGGTTGGTACTTTGGTATATTAAAATATTCTTCTAACCTTGAATATGGTATTTCTCTACTCATAATTTCTTTTTCATCATCAACCATCTGATGCAACTTATTCATATTTCTTACGTATATCACATTTAGTTAATTTTCTCAATTTACATATATATGTTCACAGTTACTGAACATATATACGAATGAGTTATATAGAGATGTGAATATGAAAAACATACATGATAGTGTAATTGTGTGATGTATATATTAATAGAAGTTCAACAATCATATTAAATCCAATAAATAAAATGATATCGGGTTGGGTTGGGTCCAAATAATAGTAACTCAATATCAACCAAATACCTACGGTTTGAAAATTTTACAACTCGATTAGACATCGGGTTGCTTCGGATTGGGTTATTTCGTGTTGGGTTTGGTTGGGTTGATCAGGTTTTTGAACACCCCTACTTATATCCATGAAAAAACTCTTTCAAACAAAAATTTTCTCATTCTCATTCTATACATACAAATTAATCCACATAAACAATTTTATTCATAAATAATTTGATGTAAAACTAACCAAACAACCTCTAATAAAAATACAAATAAAACTACCAAATGATCTTTAGTCTTCTAAGAGGTCAGAGGTTCAAACATCACCAAATGTAAGGAGGGTGTGTAAGTTTATTTGTTACATTTGTCGTATATAAATATTATATATTTCAAAAAAAATACAAATAAAACTAAAATATGATAAGAGTGAACGATTTTGACGTTTTAAGTCCTCACACTTCTAATAATTAACAAATCCAGACCCTCGATGTTTAAAAAAAGACTTTGAACAAGTAATTTCATCATAAAGTAATTATTAAATACAATTATAAAAATAAAACTAAAACACGTTTTATTGTCTTTGTGCTTTATAGTTTTTAAACACGTTGTATGGTTTGTTTTTTGTTGCGGAAATATTCCTTTATTAAAAAAAATAGTTGACTTAGGTATTTTTGTTTATTTTACTCATTTATGTGTGTGTAGGGGCGGATTTAGGGGTTGTTTACCAAACATTTAGCCTGTAAGTGCTTACCGGTAAAATTTAACACTATTATTTACTTAACGGGTAAGATTTTGGTCCACCAAAACGACATCGTATGTAACAATTTACCCGGTAATCGTTTATCATGGTAAGAGTCGTCGTCCTCACTTACGTGTAAGACTCTGGGTCCTTGTCTCGTTCTTGTCGGATAAGATTATTGGTTCTTACCATATTCATCCAAGTTAATATGACTTGATAAGCACTTATCAGGATAAACGTTTGGTAAACGGTCCCTTAGTTTATGTTGGTAGGGGTCCTAGGCCTCCAACAAACTCACCAAGTTTTAAAAAAAAAAAAAAACTTTTAAAAGATTTGTTTAGTAAATATTTTTATTGTGAGTCCAAGAAGAACAAGACAAGGGCCCCCAATTTGATATTTTGATTGTTAATTGGTCCATTTGCAGCACATACTGATATTTTCATTCGAAATATAAGATATAAAATATTAAAAAATATACACCTCGATGAATTAGTAAAAAGTCAACTGAAAATTAACCTGAATAAATTATTTTTATTCGGTTAACTGAACCGTTTAAGCCGAAAAAGAAAACCCAAAACCGTTTTTCCTCCGGATGAATTATTTAGTTTCGGTTTCATCTGGATCCGCCACTCTGTGTGTGTGTGTCATGTATAACACCCATATGTGGGAAAATTTGATCACAAAGGATACAAATCGAAACTTGGAGCTTCACTAATGATGGTAGTAGTTTAGAAGATTGTTTGGGTCAGTTTATTTAGGGGTCGTTTACCCAATTGCTTACCCGATAAGCGCTTTCCGATAGGAGTCAACGTTATGATTTATTTTGATGCGCAAGATTTTAGTACATCAAAACATATTGTATGGGGACGGGGATCCCCGTTTGTTACTCGATATGTTTTGATACGTGTGACGTTAAGTTTTTTTTTTTTTTATTAAATTGAATTTCTTTTGGTTTGAGGTTATTAATTATATTATATGATGTTGTGATTTTTTTGTATTAAATTTATTTCGATTTTAAGTTTACTGGATATATATGGATTTTAACATGTGTCGATTTTAAGTTTACTGGAAATATGTGGATTTTAACATGTGACGATTTTAAGTTTACTGGAAATATGTGGATTTAAACATGTGTGGTATCTCAAAATCTTAATTTAGAATAACTTACATAAACGGGAAAAAAATTCCCATTTCCTTGTTGGGGATCCCCGTTCCCTGTTAGGGATGAGGACGTAAATCATATTCCTCGGCAGGGACGGGGATGAAGACAGGGACGGAAGTGAGTGATCGGAGACGGAGATGGGGATTTAACCTCCTTCAAACATCCAAAACTCGCACACGCCATCTGCTGTTTTTATTATCTGTTATCTGATTGTTGTAAGTTTTTATTATAGTGACATTGCTTTATTTGAGTATCGTGCTAAATCAAAGACAAGAACAATATTCAACTTGTGTCATTCTTTAAGTTCTACTAGAAATAAATACTTGAATTGGTAAGGTATATCGCGTATATTTACGGAAAATTAAGCAGCCAAATTGGTGAACCATTCTAAACATTGTTTTTTAATTTATCTTTTCTTGTATTTACATTCTGCAATATTACTTGTTTACGTATTGAGAAATATTTCTGTATAAATCGTCACATTCACATATTTAAAACTAGGGGTGCTCAAAAACTCGATCAAACCCAGCGCGAAATAACTCAACTCGAAACAACCCAATATCTAATCTAGTTATAAAAAATTTCAAACCGTATGTACTGGGTTACTATTATTTGAATTCAACCCAATCCGATGAACCTGATATCATTTTATTTATTGGATTTAATATGATTGTTGAATTTATATTAATATACATTAGACAATTACATTATCATGTACGCTCTTCATATACACATATTTTCAATCTATTCACATTTCAATCACAAGGGTGGTGCCTGATTGGTTTGAGCTTGGCTCCAAATGTCAAAAGTAGCAGGAGATCCCATGTTCAAATTAGATAGAAGAATTTAGAAACGAGAGAAAAGATTGTGGTTTATATTTCTCAATGTTTTACATGGAAGCCAGACATTTATTCCAAAAATGTTGTTGACACCTACAGACAAAAGGATTCTATTCAAGTTTCAAAGAAGACAAATTTTCAATTGTTGTATGCTTTGTCATGACCATAAATAAATGCTTGGGACAGTCATTATCGAAGGTTGATTTGTTTCTGAGACAACTAGTCTTCAACCATGGTCAATTGTATGTTACTTTATCTAGAGTAAAAAAGTATGTAAAGTTTAAAAATATTTATTATAGATGATTTTTTTTTTGTAAGGGTGTCCGGGCCAAAGCCCGACTAATCCCCGGCAAATTTGGAGGCTAAACATGGCCCCACTTAAATGTCGCCAACACTCCCCTCCCAGGGTTCGAACTCGGGTTCATGACTATGTTATGCTCAAGCCTTTACCACTAGGCTGGAAGGTCTTTGACTTTATTAACAATAGAACAAAAAAAATGTTGTATATAAAGAAGTATTTGGTAATTTATGATACTTGGTTCTTATTTTAATGATATTTTAACTATGTATTTTTTTTCATGATTTCATTGTTCTATTATAAATTTTGTTTTACAAATTCTTAATATTTATTCATATATTTTTTTTTATAAATCTTAAAAACAATTCTGAAGGGAAAAACCTTCGAAAAGTATTATCATACTTTCAATGATCATTCGTATTTTTAAATTCCCCCGTGTAATACACGGGTTCGAACCTAATATATAATACATGACTATTCCATATAAAAGAATGAAATCTTTAAACAAAGAATCGAGATATTTACAATTGTACAATATATTCTGAAAATATTTACAGAATATTTGGAGGATATTTTAACAAATCACTAACCTAACTTTTTTAGAGATCAAGAGTTTCAACTTTAAACCACATGGATGGTGTCCGATTGATTTGAGTTTGGGATCCAAAGGTCAAAAATGTCTGGAGATCTCAGGTTCGAATCCGAGAAGGAATAAAAATATTCTAGTGGTCATAAAGGTTCAAATGCGATGACTTTAGGCTACCCACGAAGTGGGTAGTCGTCTTGTGATTAATCGGCTCATATAACGAGTTGGATATCTTAGTTAATTAAAAAAAATTCCAACTTCTTTTATATTTAAAAGGTACGTGTAAGGTTTATTTATCGTATATAAAATATTATAAACTTTAAATAAGAAACTATTGTATTCTCAATTAAAAAAAAGGGAAAAATACAATAAAAACCAATGGACTTTCTTGTTTGGAATGATTAAGTCCTTAAACTTTTTTTTGGAACAAATAAGTCCTT